TGGTAACTATCGTTAGTGGCCCCTGTAATGCCAATTCTCTCCCTTCTTTCTTGTTTTTAGAACCTTGACTGTTTGAGGGAATCAATGTCCCAGGTAAAAATAATTAATATTCTAGACTCTCTTCAATTAAGAGTGATGTTGGGATATAGGTTTGAACAATGAGGGTTCATGGATTACTATAGAACATACAAATTTAGCAGCTTAAATAACAACTATTTAAAATGTCGAGACATTTCTGGTAATCTGGGTCTGTTTTAGCTGATCAAGGCTGGGCTCATTCCTGTGTCTATGGTCAACTGGGGGGTTGGCTGGGGGTTAGCCAGGCCAGGAAGGCCTCCAACGGGACTACTCAGCTCTTCTCTGTGTGTCTTTCATGTCCCTACAGCTGCCTAGCTGGCCTTGTTCCCATGGCGGCATGAGCCGTGCAAGAGAGAAAGCAGAAATACGCAAGAGCTTTTTCAAGTCTCTTCTTGTGTCACGTTTACTACTTACTGTCCTGATGATCAAATCAAGTTATATGGCTAAACTCAGAGTCACAACCAAAGGGAATGGATGTGGAAGATGTGAAAAATTGAGTTGAGAAATGCAACTGATTTACCAGATAGATAGAGACAGAAGTCCATGGACAGGGCGTCCTTTCCCAGTAAAAAGAGAAAGTATTTCTTGTGCCTGGAATAGAGATGTGAGGTTTGGTAGTGTTGTCACCATCTTGGGACTATGAGCTGACAAATATAAGGACAAAGACCTATCTATCTGTTAATTATGGTGGAACAGAAGATTGAAAGATCCTACATTCCTGACGGCATTTTTGAGCCTCACGAGTAGTTGTAGAATAAAACTGTTGTAGGAGACAAATAAGTCCTTACCTGCTTCTCTACATAATAAAGTAAGTTTTCTGTTACATATTGCCAACTATTTTTAGTCAATAATATATTGATGTAATTTCTTATTAGTACATATAACCTAGCTCATTTTCCAAAATGGCTTTTAGCATATGACTATACTGAAACTTATTTGATCAATCTCCTCTTGAGAGACATTTATTTCCCAGATTTTCACTATTGCAAATAATGTGTCAGCGGTCATTCTCGCACATACATCTCTGACCGCCTTTTCAAGTGTCTTGTAGCATACACTCCTGCAAGAGAGATTTTGGGGAGAACGAACATATTCACTTTACATTTTTAAACATATGGTGCAATGATCTTGCAGGAAAATTGGCAAAACTTACCCTCCTATCAACACTTTATGATTACTTTCATTTTTCCACAAGTGCTCCAAAATTGAGTATTGGCAATCTTTAAAAATTTGGCCATTCTAGTAGAAAAATATATATATTTCATATTTCTTTTCATTGGTAGTGTTCGAATTTATTAAGATTGACTCCTTTTCACTCATTTATTTGTCATTTATATTTCTCTTATACATTCCCTGTTTGTATCTTTTATGCGTGTTTGTACTGGTTTGCTTATTTTTTTCTTACTATTCTTTTACTTTCTGTCTATACAACACAATTCCTGATCTTTTTTTGTTTTATACAATGTACGCATATTCTCCCAGTTTATTTGCCTTTTTCTTTGTTAACGTATCTTTGCCATAAAGAAGTTCATTTTTGTTTTTTAGAAAAAATCTTCCAGCTTTTGATAAGATTTCTAGGTTTTGTTCATACCTATCAGTCCCTTTCTTAACACCATGAAAATATTTTCCATATTTATTCCCACTACCTTTGTGGTTTTTAAATATATCTAAGTTTTTAATTCATTTGGCATTTTTACATGTGTATAGTGTGGATAGAAATACAATTTAATTTTCTTGCAATTAAATGACTATTAGTAAAATCGATCTTTGATTTGTGTGTATGTGCATGTTGTCTTTGTCAGGTTATAATACGAACTTATTTTAGCTTTGAAAAAGTAATGGGACGATTTCATCTTTCTTTCCATGATCCAAAAACATTTAAATAGTATAAAAATGATTTCTCTAAAGATTTGCAAAGATTTTCTATGAAAACTGGCAATTTGGGGGAATAACTTTATTTTACTTACTGGTTTTGGTCTGTATAGGTTTTCTATATTTTTTGGATTTTTTATACCATATTTTCCTAGAAAACTATCAGTTTCATTTATGGTTAAATATTTATTTTCAGAGTTGTATAAAATCATCTTTTACAGATTTAAAATTTTTTTGTATATTTTATTATTTGCTCTTTTATATCCTAACGAGCATTTGTGCTTTTTTTCCCCTGTTTTCCTCTTGATGGTTACCTAGTGGTATGTCTTTTAAAATAATTTTTCCACTCTCCTGCAATTTATTTTCATATACATTTACGGTTCCAACTTTTGTTTTCTGTTTTCTAATTCATTAATTTCTGTTTCATCTTTATTCCTTCCTTCATTTTGCCTCCTTTTGGGGTTTTCTTGTTGCGGTATTTTTTCTAAGTTCTTGAACTGAATGCTGTATTTAATTAATACATTATTATTTTGTAGTGTGTTTAAGGCTATAAATTTTCCTGTATGTACAGCTTTGATTATGTGTAATTTTCCTTTGTGTACAGCTTTGACTACATGTCTTAGTTGTGAAAATGTTTTCATTTTTAGTATATGATAATTATTCTGTAATGTGAACTTTTATTTGCTCTTTCAATAGTAAATTTTCTGGGAGGGAGTTTTTACATTTTTAAAAGGTTGATTTGTTTGCTTTACATTTCAATTCTGTTTATGTTATTATTTGCTAGGCTATTGAATTTTAGGTCAAGAAAAGTGATATGAATTATTTGAATTTTTGGTATCCATCAATGTTTTCCTTGAGGCTTAGTACATGGTCAGCTTTTTTTTTTTTGAGGAAGCTTAGCCCTGAGCTAACATCTGCCAATCCTCCTCTTTTTGCTGAGGAAGACTGGCCCTGAGCTAACATCCGTGCCCATCTCCTTCCACTTTATATGTGGGACGACTACCACAGCATGGCTTGCCAAGTGGTGCTGTGTCCACATCTGGCATCCGAACCGGCGAAGCCCGGGCCGCTGAAAGGGAACATGCGCGCTTAACCGCTGTGCCACTGGGCCGGACCCTATGGTCAACTTTTACAAATGATCTACAGATACTTTATGGTGAATTCTCTATTTTTATGGCAATATGCAAAGTATATGATACCATAAATATATATATATATATGTTCACATATACTTTTATATCTATCTTATTGTGTTTTGCCATAAAATAGATATAAACATATATTAGCATTATATATAGGTAACTATATTCATATATATCTATCAGAATTATTATGTTACTTAGCATTATCCTTGAATTCCCTTTGTCTGAAGAAGGTCCCATGATGCTGTGAGAGCAGATTTCTAGGCCCCCTTCCTAGAGATCCTGGCTGAGTGAGTCTAAAATCCAGAGCCTACTGCGGGTGAGCCTGCCCCCTGCTGAGTGGGGGACTAGGCTGACTCAGGGGGAACCCCTGGGCATTCAGATCCTTTCTTGGACATTTGGTGTTGACTTATGCAGCTCAGTTAGCTTTGTTTAGCAGCAGCAAAAGTGACTACATCTTTTTCTCCTCCCCCTTTCTGATCTTCAGGGTGTTTCACAGAGTTAGAGGTATTATGATGTATTGAACTCTGTCCCCTTTGTCAGTTTTGTTAAAAATTAATTGCTTGTGCTGTAGCTATTTCCTCTTTCATTGGGATGAAGTGTTCGCAGTTTACATTATTTTGCTGTTTTGGTGGTTTCAAAGAGAGATCATTTGCCCATCTTTTCTCAGAAGTTCTTCTTTAAAATTTTTCCTTAATTCTACTACTTATTCTATTCAGTCAATGACCTTGTCTCGTCTGTTATCTATTGCTTTATAAAGTCTATGTTTCCTTTAATTTTCTTGAGAGCGTAAAGCATTTACTCTCAAAAAAATCTAGAATCAATTTTTTCACTCTAGCTTTGGTAATCTATAGTACTTATTTCCTCATTTTTAAATACTCTCCTTGCATAGTTTTTCCACACTCCCTACTTTATTGGAATAACACAAATTGATGTACATTTGATGCCCCTTGTCCCCACATAGTGTGGTTTTATTCTCGGGTTCACTATCTATTTCCCAGGAATTATTCAGATCCTTCTCTTAAAATATAAGTTGGATAAGGTAGCTTTATCAGACATCAGATAGTCCACATTTCAGGGATTCAGCAGCCAGAGAATGGTAGAAGGAAAGTTGAGCCCCTTGTCAGTCACAGCTGGGTAATTTCATAAAATTCTGTGACGTTTTCTCAATGTTTGAATAACGGCGCCAGGATCCATTTGGGAAAGGCAGAGACTATCCTTTCCTGCCAAGGGGCATAGACCTCAGTCATGAATTCACCTTCTTCGTGGTGAACCAATCTCATTAGTGAGAGGGTGCTTGAGAGGAATGTCCCATGGTCTGTGGACTTTGTGTTTGGGAAGCTGTAATGTTTTCTCCAGCATAGATATCTGCCATTATTGCTCTTGGTTGGGAGCTGTGAAAATGGCAGAAATTCATTTAGTCTCTTTCCCATGGTCCATCCTTATCTCCAGGCTCTGCCTCTTTAACAGATGTTTTTAAATTTAGAGATGGCATGTGAACACAGGCAGTCCAACTCTATAGCTTGGGTTTTTACCACTTTGTAAAGCTTTCTTTCTAATAATATTTATTGAATGCTGATGATAGAAAGCCATGAGCTGACAGGACATCGTAATACAATTTCAGGGATAGCACAGAATTTTTAGATCTACAGGTAATACATAAGCCTCATTTAGCCAAAGTGCTTCCTACTCCCTCACTTTTATGGGTCTCTCAATTTGTACACTTGCTGATATCGCTCCCTGCGCATTCTCTCGTGGAAGTGCATATGGACACCATAATAGCTAAAAGGCACTCAGCCAGAGAGAGCAGAAGAACAGGGATATGAACCGTCCACAAATGCAATAATCAACGCCTGGATAATTGCACATTGATTAAATAGTATCGTGATTTCTTTGTTCATTTTCTAGGAGATGTACCCAAGACTTTCGAGGAATAATTTAAGGTAGGATAGTTGTTTTGTAGCTTTTTCTCTAGGCCTACTCTTTTAGGTGCCTGCTAAAGATATGATTAAGATGAAGCTGTTAATTGATCAAATACTCTGTTCAGTTTTTCCTTTTATTTCCTAACTGAAGTTGATATTTTTCTAGGGTGCAAGAGCACCATGAGTCAATTGGCTCAGGCAAGCAAACAGAGCATTTACCTATAACTACTCAGCTAAAGGTCAGTTGCTGGGATTTTGCTGTTCATCCCCACGCAGTAAATTCATTTTTTTTCTCTTTTCTTTAAACTTGACACCAGTATGAGGCAGTTCAAGTTCCCTCTGCTGTTTGCAGTGATTGATTTTTGAAGCAGCGGAAACATCCTTTTACTGCATGAAGATTTGAATCTACTAAGGCTTGTGGGGACACAAAGCATTTATCCCAAAGCTTGTTTCAGAGAGACTTGGGAAAAAGTTTAAAACCTACCCATACAGCTATGCAAATGCAGTCTAACACCCACAGACTGCCAGGGATGGCGGACACAGAGTATCTAACCCCTAAACCCGATAAAGTTCATTGGTGAGGTTCTCTTGACTATGCTGTGCTCACATCCAGCCTTTAAATTCTTTTCAATCTCCCATAGGCTAATGGCATACTCCATAAAGCTAAGACCAAATAATCCAATAATGCAAGTAAGCAGGTAAACAAACACCTGTTGACGCCCTTGTGTAGAGCAGCAAAGCATCCAGGCAGCCCTTACATTTCTTGACTTTTCCTGCCACATACACAAAAGCTCTCAACTGTCTTGGATTTTGCTATATTGCTTAGTTCCTTCCCTTATTACACAAATAAGAAAACTTAACTAGTAATCATAATTATACTTGTTGCAAATACTGAATGGAAGTAGAATGCAGGATATCTTGATCTGTCTTGAACTTGGCTTCTTGATTTTGATTGTATCACAGTCTGATTTCCTTTATTCCCTTTGGATTTCCTTTCACTTCCTGGTCCTCCTCTGCTATGGAGATGCTACAGTATAAGAGCAAATACTATTTAATAAGAACTTACTATGTTCATAGGCATTTTAGGTCATGACATTTAATCCTCTCAAGAACTTTAACAGGCATTTATAATCTCTTTCAGAAATAAAGAAATTGAGGTTGAACTAGAAAGTCATGGAGCCCTTATATGAACCTATGACTTGACTCAAAAACCCATCTTCCTTTCAGTTCTCTCTCATTTAGAGTAATCATGGAAGTTTCAACTTAGATAAAAAGAAGAACCCTCATGGAAACAGTTTGCAGGGTTTGGGCAGGATATACACAAAACTGCCATAGGCAATTTCATTTAAATATTTTTCATGTAGGTTCACATTTAGGTTTTTAGAAGCTTTTCTTGCTAGATTTTTGCTTTGTGCGACCTATTTCTATGTAGCATGACATGAAAGGAGTGAGTTAATATTCAAAATCTAATGACTCTCGTATCAATAAATGTAGATGTCAAATCCAGATAGTACAAGTCCCTATGATATTGGAAAGGAGAAACAAAGAGGCAACATTTATGTAAAGAGTATTAAAGAAATTTCCCCAAACTCCAAAAGCAAAAGGGGATCTCTATTAGCTGTATAAACAAGAATGAAAATTTGAGTAGTTCATACATTGTAAATCCAGTCTGTCCCTTTTCCAGGAAACACATGGATTCTCTCTCCAGGGGGTGACTAGCTGTGTGGGGATTAGTCAGTGTCCGTGTTTCTTCTTCCCCTTCTTCCTTTTTTTCTGCTAAAGAGTTTACAATTACTTGCACGGTCGACCCTTGGTATACTTGGGGGACTGATTCCAGGAACCCACTCATACCAAAACCAGCAGACGCTCAAGTCTCTTACATAAAATGGCATAGATTTGCATATAACCCATATACATCCTCCCGTATGCTTTGTCATCTCTAGATTATTTATAATACCTAATGCAATGTAAGTGCTATGTAAATAGTTGATATACTGTATTGTTTAGGGATTCATGACAAGAAAAAAAGTCTGTACATGCTCAGCACAGATGTAACCATCTTAGACCTTTCAATCTGCAGTTGGGTGAATCCATGGATGCCGAACCTACAAATACAGATGGCCAACTGTATTTGGAGGTCTCCTCTATAATGATGTGACATCTGGCATAGGAGGTAAATAGAAAAGGAAGGTAAAATTAACATTGGGAGCAAGTGAAAAGGTACTCAGGACTTTCAGAAAAGTAAAAGAATTGTAATAACTTTATATCCCCAAAGTAAAAGGAGAACATTTCAAGAAGGGGCTGATTACTGGAGTCAGATGCTATAGAATGTCAAAGGTAATGAGAACTGAGAAAAGGGCCATTGATTTGGATGATTAGGAGGGCAATATTCTCTTCTGATTATACTATTTTCATATTTTAGTGATAGAGACAAAAGCTGGATTCAAAGAGTCAAGAAGGGAGAAGTAAAAGGGTTACACCCATGTGGACTGTGGTTATATTTACTCTATTATTTCATCATCCTGATATTTTACCTGATATCCAACTTAAGGTCTGATCCAAAATTGATTCACGTGCATATGTGGTTACCGACATTGAGATGATTTAAAATAAGTTATAGAAATGCCTTTTCTAACTAAGGCTAATTTTTTCCCCTCAAAGCTGAAAAGATTGCATTATTATAACCATTTTGAGCAGAGAATTTACTACACAAGGCACAATGTCCCTGGGTATGCTGACTAAGTAACCCTGATTAGAAGGAGATTGATGGTTCAGATACAAGAGGTGAACTTGGAGTAAAGAAAACAGCAAATTACAAATAAGATGCATTACCTACTTTGAGTTTTTTTCTTTTTCTTTCCCCTCACTCCCTCCACATCTATAAAACACAATAAGCTTAATAGGGTTAGGTGTTCACAGTTTCCTTTTATGGACTGTCAAACAGAACAGACCCAGAAGTTCTGTAGCTGTAGATTATGCTCCAGAATAAGGTAGGCTGCATTTCTACAGGTGACAACACTGATCCTACCACCAGGTGACCTGCTTTAAGGAAGGTGGCAGTGAGACTTCTAGAGCATGTATTCATCTAGTTAGAAGTAGGAACTAATAACAGATAGAGAAATGACAATGACTAAAAATGAGGCTTTCTGATGGCTAGGGAAAATTATTCCAGTTAACCAGGGCATATTGACCGTAAATCAGGAGATCTGAATTCAAGTCATGGTGTCACTTATGTGATTAGGAAAAGTTACTTCTCCTCTTGTGTTTCTTCCTTGCACAGAAGAGTAATCACATGATGACATCTGGACCACCATCTTACAGAACTGTAGATAGAGAGAGCCAGCTGTAAAACCTGAAGCAACTACATGTGAAAACTGTTAGTATTTATGTTTTGGTCTCCCCAATGCTTGAGTTTATATGTCACTTTACAAATATTTTCTGGACAGATGTGCCAATGTTAGTGACCGAGAACTCTTTAGAGATCATCTTTTCATTTAATACCTCAAAAACCAAAAACATGACCAACCCAAGAACAAACAAACAAAAGAACTCAAGTAAGAGAGAGGTCATTTGTCAAGTAGTAATTTATACAGGTAGTGAATGGGAAACTCTAGAAAAAGCCACATTCTTGGACTTCCAGACTTTTGCATATTCATACAGCGTGATCAAAGCAGGTACTTAATGATTAGTTATGTTAACGAGAAAATAAAAATAAGGGCCATCTTTTTCAAACCCAGGCAGGACCATCTTTCTGTGAAATGGACCCACAGTCTAACATTTTGTTCCCCCATCTCTCTTCTCTGAGGACTGCTATCCGGCTGCATTAGGAACAGCCATATTAAGCCCTTATCCTACTCCCTTGAATGGGTCCACAGTTGAACAGTCCAGAGACTGTTGGGTGACTGCCCCTAACAAAAGCCTTGGGCATTTGCTGTCTGAATTCCTAGGGTATAAGTGATGAAGCTGGGCAGCTGTCAGTGGCCACATGTCCTGCCATAAATTTCTAGAGACCTAGGGAGGTGGTTTGGAGAGAGAAGAAGGGAGGAGAGGACAGGAGAGGAGAAGGAGAGAAAGCTATTGTACAGAATGGAAAAGAAACCAGTGTGAAGCTCAGGTTGTTTTAAACTGAGTTTCAGGCCAGACTACTTCCAGCAATTTCTTCACCAGGCTAGGTTTCCTCCTTGAGGTTCCCCGTTAGGATGCTCGTTAGCATGTGGACTTGGGTCAGCCAAACTGAGTTTGAATTGAGACACACTTACTAGCTGTGTGACCTCGGGAAAGTTATTTAAACCCTTCATCTGTATAAGGCGACAGACGATCCTTACCTTGTAAGATCTTTTTAAAGCTTAAATAAGACACTGTGTATAAAGTGCTTACTCCAGGCTTTGTACACATCAGACACTTACTAAATGGTGCACCTATTAGAATCTCATCGACTTGTGGACTTGGAGAATGCTAGAGCAGAAAAGATTCCTTCTTAGGAACCATCTGGCCCAGTGATCCTCATAAGACCCTTTGGAGTCTTAAGAGCTTTGTAAAGGGACTGGGGGGTGAGGGACAGGAAACTCAGGGGTAAAGGGGTCTCTGTACCTCAACTCCTACTTCAAACAGAATGCCTCTATTTTTATCTGTCATATTTTGGGCTTCCTACTTAAAAAAAAATGATATAAGGAAAGAGTCTGCAAAAAGAAAAAAATATGCTAGTGCAACTTCTTAATTCTGTAAGTGAGGAAACTGAGGCAGTGAGTCAAGCCCTTTGCTTCATTGCCCATCTCGTCAGATGATTCTGGTGAATATACAAACTCCTCATTAATATCAGCAAGCCCGAGGGGTGTTTGCATCCAGTCATTGGGTCACCTTCACAGATAATTTCCCCAGCTACAAGGCTATAGCCCAGAGTGGCTCCGATCTGCCTTGTCTATTCTGAGCCACCAGAGTCTGGCTGTAAGTTACAGATGGAGTCACCAATTGGATCAATCATCTAAAACTATGAAGACAAAGTATAGACAATAGAAAAAAAATGAGAATGATTCAATCCATCCTGTGGAATAAAAACTCTATACTGTTCCTGCAAGTTAATCTCAGAGTAATTAAAAACAAGGAACTTGGACGAATGTAAAGCAGGCTTTGAAATTAACTTCTGTTTCTTATTGGAAATTGGTAAAATCCTTAGTCATGTACCATTAAGGGAATTGTCTCTCCTATGGTCCAGTCTCGATGTCTCTTTATCATTCACATTCTGCTCATATAATTCATATCCAACCCCAGACTGGCATGACGTTTTCACTTTCTTCAATCAAGCTTTTAGTCATAATTAGAGTGAAATTTTAGTCTCTGCATCTGCAATTGCTCAAAGATTGTACTGTAAATCAACTGATTTCTAAGAAAGCCTCAATTCTGAAAAAATGCCTGTTGCCAGTTAGGAAATAATCATGATTAAGATGACATGAATAGGCAGTGTTTATAGAGTACTGCAGCGCTTTATCCAGATTACAGACGGACAGGAAGGGACCCACTCCCAACACACGTACTGCAAGGTTAGACCAAGTTCCTGATTTAATTAGCCAAGGATGCAAACCTAATCAGAAAGGAGGTAGCCACACAGGATAGGAGCAGAGGCAGAATATCTCAGCGTAGCTTTCTTTGCTCCCTCAAAATCTAACAGGAGCCCACAGCTGCCTGAGTCACTGTCCACACAAAAAGGACAAATGGTCCTTTATGCCATGCCACTGTCCTTTAATATTCAGGGTTTACATCATTTTCTGGAAGCACTTATATAACAACCTATTTGCCTCTTGAACCAACTCAGTGTCTACAAGATCTCATCTTTCCCCGAGGAGCAAGCAGTGTCAGAGCCTGGATGCTCCAGAATGGGATCTATGGTTCTGAGTTTCCAGGGTTTGGGGAAAGCTCATTTTCCAGTGAGTGTTCACCAGGTACGCCCACTCTGTGATGCTCTTTCATGCACTATCTCTTCGAATCCCCCAGAGCTATTGCAGGTTCACAGTCATTATCCAAAACCTTTGGGCTCATATAAGTTTTTGAATTCAGAAATTTCAGATTTCAGACAGGCTATATGGTGCATATACCATATATTTAATTTGTACCATCCCCAGTGGGACCTGAGGCACCACCCCATAAATAATCACTTTATCCATATAAAGAATATGAATTGGCTTGCCACAGTTCAGTCAGAAATTGATGCGAATTACTTTGTGCCAAATGTATGAAAAGTCATTTGATCCTAAGAACATTTTGGATGTTGCAATGCAGATTAGGGTTTGTTGACCTATATTACTGTCTTCCTCTTGCAATTGAGGCTTATAGAGTTTGAGGAACTTGTCCAAGGTCACAACTAGTAAGTGATGGGGTGAAAATTCAAACATACGTCTGTCTATATTCCAAGCTTCCATCTTTAATAACAGTACCATAACACAACCTTGGCTGTCTTTCAATTTGAGAGAACTTCCATTTTCTGACTCTTTCTAACAGGGCCTGGACTGGGGAGAGGAGAATGAAGCACTCATCTTGGGTGTAAAATGTAAGGGAGTGTCTAAAAACTCAGTAATCAAGATAAATAGTTTTAAAATGCAACATATTAACAATTAAAATTAATGCAAAAAAACCCTCTGATGAACAAAATATAAAAAATTTAAATCAAGATGTGATCAGTGTTATCCCAGTATGGCTCCGTCAGGCTCCTCTCTAGTTAGTGTCTGAGTACTGCTCTGCTCTTCTCTGTTTTCACTGCAATAGGAGGAGGATGATGTCCCGTTCCTTTTGACAAGAAGGTTGACTCCAGAATGAGGCCCGGGAGAAGCAGTTCTCCAGTGAACAAAATTCATGAACAACACACTGCTTCCTGATTACCAAGATTAAAAATCCCTTCTGGCCACAGAAACCCAGACATTATTGTTGAACTGTTCCATCCCAGCCTCAATTACACAAAGAGAAGGGACATCATTTTTCATAGATATTTCAACAGAGTTAAGGGATTGGATGGAAAATGTTTAAGTTGGTCTACTTTCAAGTTCACGATTATATCAGTCAAGACCCATAGGAAACAGAACCCACCCCAATGAAGAAAGTTTAATGAAGGAATGACTTCCTAGGTCAGAGAACAGGAAAGGTGCTAGACACCGAGAGACAAGCAACAGAAGCCAGTAGTGCCCCCGGGTCTAAAGGGAAACAGGGAGAAAATGGTGTTCCTGGAGTCAGAAGGAGCTTGAGCAGTGAGGAAGAGGGCTGCCAGCCAAGACCAGTAGTTGCGGAGGGGCGCCATCCCAAAGCAGAAATTTTCCCAAGCACTCACTCCCCCACCCACTCCAGTCTCCTGTGAGGAGGGCCTCCTATTGGCTGGACTGATGGGGAGCAGCTGGACTGGAGCTTGGCTGGTGCAGCGGTATGGATCAGTCTCCTGCAGCACAGAGAAAGGCATCAAAGAGTGGAGAGAGGATCTGGGGCAGGAAGAAACTGGTAAGAAAACACACAAGGAGTTTTGTTCATTGATTTTCACAAGCTCAGATACCTATCAAGATACTCCTGTCTGTTTAGTGACACAGCTAAAAGAGCTATTGCAGGAGAGATCCCAAAATAGTTACCACTTGATGTTATCACTCTCACTTAAAATTAGAATAAACACTTATATGCAAAATTGTTATTGATTACACAGTATTATTCCCACTGTACAAAAGAGATACTGATTTCATTCTCCTTTTTTTTAATCATAAGAAGAAAATTTAAATTGCATATAGAAGAGAGGTGTTTATGCTAATATGAGTCCCTGGCAATATGACTTAGATTTTTTTATTCTGCCATTCAAAACAGTAAGTGAAAGACTAGAAAAGAAGGCATTAAAGACTTTAAACACTAAATAATCCTTCTGAATCAGCATTCAAAGACAACGGAAGGACTCACTGGGGATTTAAGTAAAGTAGCTATTTTTGTACATAATTTTAAGAGCATGATTAAGGAGTGATGGTCATATATTTGGTATGACTCATGGCCACTTACATGGACACATTCTCTAAATATATGAGGAGTCTAAGCTGGGATAACAATAGATTCATTTTCCATACACATGGCTATGCTGGGATATTATTTACTCTAGGATTCCAATGAGTAAGGAGGAGGTGGAGAATGAGAGCAAGTCTACCTGCCCCTGAAGATGGCCAAGGAGAGAGATTCTACCATGGCAACAGAACTCTTAGTTCTGATGTCTTTTCACACCTTCAAGTTTTCATGCCATAATTTAAGACCAAATTTCTTGGTTGGTATCTGCTAATGCCATGCTCTTTCAGCTGCTGCTGGGCTCAGTTCCTCTGGGGTCATGTGGATCTTAGTAAACTCCCTTTTAGTAGAGTTAGATGAAGTACTTGAAGACAATATAAGTCATTGCATAGAAAACGCTGTTAAAATTTTTTCCTACAAATTATATCAGATAAGCAATGTACCTTTTTTTTTTTTTTAGAGGGGAGGATTGTCCCTGAGCTAAGGTCTGTGCTGATCTTCCTCTGTTTTGTGTGTGGGATGCTGCCACAGCATGGCTTGATGAGCAGTGTGTAGGTCCGTGCCAGGGATCAAACTGTGAACCATAGGCTTCCAAAGCGGTGCACGTGAAATTAACCATGATGCCACTGGGCTGGCCTCACAATGTACATAATTTTGCAAGTGGTTTTCAGGCTGTCTATCTTATTGGTAGGGTTTAGTTTCATGCTGAAAGCATTATTTCCTCCTTTGTATGGATACTTAATCTTATTTTAAATATTCAGTTTCTTTTTCTGCTTCAGCTTTTGTCTTTCCACTTTAATAGAATTCAACATTTGCTTTTTTCCTTTTTTTCCTTCAGAGATTCACAAAGAAAGAGATGCCAAGGCAAAATTTCAATACCAAGGCCAAAACCAATTTATAGGGAGATGCTTATGCATTAATTTATGTATAGCCAATGTTTATTGTTTGTTCTATACATAGCATTAGTTTATGTGCTGAGAATTTAAAGATAAATAAGGCTTAGCCCTTATTTTCAGAAATATCAAGTCTAACAAGGGTAACAGACGTGTAGAGATGATTTCATCTAATGTGTTAAGGATAATAACAGAAGTATAAATACATTTTCCTGAAAGTAGGCATTCTGAGCCAATATTCACAAACAGTTGATAAAATAAACTCAAATACTTGTTGTTTTTTCCCTAGAATGTTTCCCAAAGCCTTTATTTCTAAGACTACATTTTTTTTACCTGCTCTCCCAGTTGTGTAGTGTGGTGTAGTAGGACGAATTTCTATATTAGAGACATTCACTCTGACGACAGAATGGTGTGTCATTTGTATGGCATAAAGATGGACACTCTTGATTGCAACATACACTTGAAAGATGAAACCGTGCAACACGGCTACTTTGGAATTTAGCTCAGAGGTGATGTAGCCAAATGCTCAGCCTTGAAAGTCTAAGAGTCGTGGGTTTGAATTTTGGTTCTGTCATTTACTAGCTATGACACTGTGCAGTTTATATGAACCTGCCTTTGAAGGTAGGCCTTTCAATTTTTTTTTTTTTTTTTAAAGATTTTATTTTTTCCTTTTTCTCCCCAAAGCCCCCCCGGTACACAGTTGTGTGTTCTTCGTTGTGGGTTCTTCTAGTTGTGGCATGTGGGACGCTGCCTCAGCGTGGTCTGACAAGCAGTGCCATGTCCGCGCCCAGGATTCGAACTAACGAAACACTGGGCCGCCTGCAGCGGAGTGCGCGAGCTTAACCACTCGGCCACGGGGCCAGCCCCAGCCCTTTCAATTTTTAAAATAGGGATGAAATACCCATATAACAGCATGGTAGCGGTGATCAAATAATACAGTATGCGTAAAACAGCAGAATGCCTGTCATCTAAGCATTCAATAAATGGTTATTATTATTTATTGACTCCAAAAATTTATTTGCACCATACATTTCTTCCTTCTAAAATTTCCTCTTAGGGGAGCACAAGGATCATCATTGCCTACTAAATAGAGTTTATAAAATTATAAACCCAATATACACCCGAATACAATTACAGAATCATGAATTTTTTATAGGGAAATTGACCACACCCATTGCGAAGATAAAAATGCTGAGATTTAGATGGCTTACGTGACTTGCCCAAGTCTCTCAGAACCCAGGTCTGCCCATTGCATATACTGCCTTGTACCTCGGAATACAATCATCCTCCTTGCTCACCCCACCCCGGCTCTCCTTGTAGTTTCCATCTGCAGTATAAATATCCTTCCTCTCATGCACATTTCTGATTCATACTCCTTTGACAGTGAAGCTGAGCTGTTCTATCATTGATGAAGTGTGAATGAGATGCTGTTATTAATACAAACAGTAGCACCCTCTGGGTATCATGCATTTATCAGATCAAGCATCAAAATATGAAACTACGAAAACAACTAATGAAAACAAAATGAATATTGTTAGCTAAATTAATGCTGTCATCTTCCCCAAGTGTATCTTCAAAATGAAATGGTCCAAAGGCAAAAATAGAACAAGCTGGGAACACTTAGTTCCATAGTGTAGAGGATTTGAGACATAGACTTATTTTCCAAGGTGTTAAATTGCTCAAGTGTCAGTGGTGAATGATTACTAGTATGTGAAGACCCCAGAAAACTCCAGTGTTCCCCTTCTCTGTCTCTCTAATAAAATTACAGCATAAAACAACAACATGAATCTGTATTTTGGAGCTTGACTCAGAGATACCCTTTCTGCCTCCTGCTCTGGGAGTTTTAAAGCCACTGCCACTGTCCCCTTTCAGTGCCAAAATATTTGTTTTAGCTGCCTTCTCAATTGTGCTTCAGCTGGAGCAGGAACACCAAATCAAGAAAGCATATTGCTGCGCAAGTTTACTTGTTGAAACTAATAATGCTCTTGAGAGTAGTGAAGTTAGTCTCTGTACCTATTAAGCTCATTTTCTCCCCTTTCGAAGTCAGTGCCATTCTCTTAGTGCTTTGTCCATTTGTGGTCAAAGCTTATGTAAAGAAACACTCTAGAGTTTCTGTCGGGTCCAGGCTTGCTCATTCATCTTGAGATTTGCTTTGGTGTGACGACAGAGGTGATTTCAGTACTGTTGGTTCAAGGGAGTTGTATCATCAAAAAGTGGATGAGAAAGGGCTGTTGATGATTCCTTTCTGTTCTCTACTGTCCAACATGTCTCAGTGAGAATGGGATTCCACCAGACGAACTCTGGGTGAGAATAGGTAGTGTGATTCCGCTTTTAAGAAAGATCAATGTATTTTGTTACTGAAGCTGATAAGGCAGCTTCTCCTATAAATGCTGCCTACAATCCACATGTACAGAATTCTGGCCAATGAGATTAGACCAGATGCCGGAAAAATGCACGCTGACCAGCTTACCAGCTGAATCATTCTGACTGTCACTCAGGTCATAATGATATTTTGCTTGAGATTCAGGATTGCAGAGCATAGATTCTATAAAAAGCAAGCTTTGTTTGAGGAACTGATCTGAAGATGTGACAATGTTAGTGGCTTTTACTTCTTCCAATCCCAAACGTTGTTTCACACCTTATTTGCGTTGCACTGAGAATTTAGAGGTAAACGAGATATGGTCTCTGGCATCTGGATGGTCACAGTCTAGTGGGAAAGCTATGGACAGGTGTTACCCAATAATACCAGAGGTCTGTAAGGTCAGAGGGAAAGAGAAAGCGCTTCCCTAGTGAAGGTTGCGGTGGGAGAGTGGGGCAGGGGTGAGATTCCTCAGAGGAGGTAAGACAGCGATCGACACCTGAACCAATCTTTGAAGAATAAAGAATTCTCTGAACAAGGTGGAATAGTGTTAGAAACAGAAAGCATAATGGATGCAATGGATGCTATGGATGGAAGCGTCAAAAAATGGCTGTTTTGAGGGCTTTTTGAAAAGTTTGA